CCACTGCATTTCTATATACTAACAATGAAATATTAGAAAAATAAATGAAAAAATTCCTTTTGCAATTGCAAATGGAACAAAATACATAGGTATCAACTTTAAACAAAGGATGTGAAGGACCTATGTACTGAAAACTACAAAAAAGAGATTGTAAAAGACACAGTGAAATTGGAAGATATCCCATGTTCATGGATTGGAAGAATCAACATAGTTAAAATGTCCATATTACCAAAGCAATATTCAGATTTAATGCAATCCCCATCAAAATTTCAATGATATTTTTTAAAGAAATAAACCAAAAAAATCAGATGTGTATGGAACCACAAAAGACCTGGAATAGCCAAAGCAATTCTCAGGGAAAAGAATGAAGCCAAAGGTCTCACACTACCTGATTTTAAATTATACTACAGAACAATGATAATCAAAGCAGCATGGTATTGACAGAAAAACAGACACGCAGACCAATGGAATAGAACTGAGAACCCAGAAATAAAAATCACATGTATGTAGGCAAATAACTTTTTTTAAAAAATATATTTTTATTGATTTTTTACAGAGAGGAAGGGAGAGAGATACCTAGAAACGTCGATGAGAGAAACACCGACCAGCTGCCTCTTGCACACCCCCTACCGGGGATGTGTCCACAACCAATGTACATGCCCCTGACCGGAATCGAACCTGGGACCTTTCAGTCCGCAGACCAACGCTCTACCACTGAGCCAAACCGGTTTCGGCAGGCAAATAATTTTTGACAAAGGAACAGAAAACATATAATGGAGAAAAGAAAGCCTGTTCAATAAATGGGGCTGCGAAAATTGGAAAACCACATGCAAAAGAATGTAATTAGACTACAGTCTGTCCCCATGTATAAAAATTAATTCAAAAAGGATCAAAGACCTAAGTATAATACCTGAAACAATAAATCATATAGAAGAAAACATAGATACTAAACTTATGAATACAGATTGAATACAACAATACGTTAAAATAACATATCACGATTATTATATTGTGTTGTGGCCATCGTATTGCTCTTAGAGACGCTTTTATGAATTTGATCCCAAATTCATAAGGCAAGGAAAGCAAAGGCAAAAATAAATGAATTGGACTGTGTCAAACTAAAAGGCTTCTGCACAGCAAAAGAAACTGCCAACAAAACCAAAGGGCAACCAACCGAAGGGGAGAAGATATTTACAAAAAACAGCTCTGACAAGGGGTTAATAGTCAAAATAAATAAAGAACCAATACAACTCAACATCAAACAAACAATCCAATCAAAAGTGGGCAGAGGACCTAACTAGACACTTCTCCCTAGAAGACATACAAATGGCCAACAGATAAAACTCCCGCAAATGCTTTTTTGGGCATGAAATTGGACATTTTTAAGCATAAAAATATCTATTATGTTAACACCTTCAACACATTTGACATATGAAGTTTTGGAGCTTGCTTTCAAGACAACAAAAAAGCATACATATCAAATCTCATATATATCAACATATGTATAACTCCATCTATTGAAAAAATTTGCATTAACTGGTACACCTAGTAATATCCAGGGGTAATGAGCTTTATTCTTAATAACTGAAATTTGGAAATAACTCAAATGTCCATATGCAGGAGAATGGATTGAAAATTGGGAATATCCCAAGAAATCAGAAACACCAATCAGAAAGGATATATGTACCCCATACGTTCATAGCAGCACAATTTATAATAGCTAAGATTTGGAAACAGCCTAAATGCCCATCAACAGATGAGTGGATTAAAAACCTGTGGTACATGCTCTAATCGGTTTGGCTCAGTGGATAGAGTATTGGCTGTGTGGACTGAAAGGTCCCAGGTTCGACTCCGGTCTAGGGCATGTGCCTTGGTTGTGGGCATAACCCCAATAGGAGGTGTGCAGGAGGCAGCTGATTGATATTTCTCTCTCATTGATGTTTCTAACTCTCTATCCCTCTCCCTTCCTCTCTGTAAAAAAATCAAATATATATATATATATATATATATATATATATATATATATATATATAATTTTTTTTTTAAACAAACGCGTTATGTCTACACAATGCTGCTGTAAAAAAGAAAACTTTTATGGTTCGCAACAGGATCAATGGACATGGAGAGCATTATGCTAAGCAAAGTAAGCTAGTCAGAGAAAGATAAATATCACATGATCTCACTCATTTGTGGAATATAATGAATAACATAAACTAATGAACAAAAATAAATCCAGAGACAGAGAAGCATCGAGTGAACCATCAAACCTCAGAGGGAAGGTAGGGGAAGGTGGGGGAGGGGGGTAAGAGATCAACCAAAGGACTTATATGCATGCATATAAGCATAACCAGTGGACACAGAGACTAGGGGGGTGAAGGCATGTGCTGGGGGTGGGAGTGGCTGGGGCGGAAAAGGAGACATATGTAATACTTTAAATAATAAAGAATTTTTTTTAAAAATTGTGATATATTCATACAATGGAATATTTCTTTCAAAAAAGATACCGATGGAGTTGTTCCACCTTAACCCATGGGGGATATGCTCCAAGATCCAGTGGATGCCTGAAACTGAGGATAATATTGAACCCCATATGTACTGTTTTTTCTAATACCTGTGATAAAGTTTAATTTATAATTAGGCACAATAACAGATTAATAATAACATTATAAAGAGAACAATTATAACAATATATTGCTCTAAAAATTATGTGAATGTGGTTTCTGTCTCTCCAAAATATCCTATCTAATAAAAGAGTAATATGCAAATTGACCATCACTCCAACACACAGGATGACTGCCTTCATGTGGTCAAAGATGGCTGCTCCCATGTGGACACAAGATGGTCATCAGGGGAGAGCAGTTGGGAGGGTCCAGGCCTGCAAGGGAGGGCAATAGGGGACAATCAGGCCAGCAGGGGAGGGCAGTTAAGGGTGACCAGCAAGCAGAGGAGGGAAGTTGGGAGCTACTGGGCCTGCAAGGAAGGTCAGTTGGGTGGGGAACAGGCCTGCAGGGGAGAGCAGTTAGGGGTGACCAGGCTGGCAGGAGAGCAGTTAGGCAGCAATCAGGCTGGCAGGGGAGTGGTTGGGTGTGATCAGGCTGGCAGGCAGAAGTGGTTAGGGGCAATCAGGAAGGCAGGAAGGTGAGCAGTTGGGAGCCAGTAGTCCTGGATTGCCCATTTAGGCCCAATCCAGGTAGAATCCCAGATTGGAGAAGGTACAGGCTCGGCTGAGGGAGACACACCCCCATGCATGAATTTCATGCACCGGGCCTCTGGTCCTATACAGTAAAAGCCTAATACTCAAACTGTCCCGTCCACCAGGAGTTCGGGAGTTCAACCAAGGGGCAGGGTGGTAGCAGGCATCCCAGGGTAGGGAGGTGCCCCGGCTGGCAGCTGACGGCTGGAAGCTGCTAGGGACCCTACCCATGCACAAATTTTGTGCACTGGGCTTCTGGTAGTACTATACTCAGCCTTCTTCTTGTGATGATGTGAGGTGATACAGTGCCTCCATGGTGGGGGGCAGCATATACAGCATGGATATGCTGGACAGAGGGACTATTTGCATTCCGGGCAGGACAAGTGGGATAGCACAAGATTTCATTATGCTACTCAGAATGGTACACAATTTAAAACTTATGAATAGTTTATTTCAGGAATTTTTATTTAGTATTTTTGAAGAGTGTTTGACTATGGATAACTAAAACTACAGAAAGCAAAACCACAGATAAGGGGGGAACTACTTGCACACAAAATATGGATGCATCTCATGACCATTATGTTAAACAATGAGAATCAGATACATGAGAATATATGGTATAAGGTTATCTTTATATGAAGTTCAAGAACAGGCAAACTCATTGATGGTGATAGAATACTGTTTACTAGTGATGGAGGGATGGTATCAAGTATAAAGGAACTCCAGAGAACTTTCTGGAGTGAAAGAAATGTGGCTGTATAGGTATACACCTAAACTTAAAAGTTACTTGAGCTCATACTTAAGGTTTATGCATTTACTATATGTTCATTATTCTATCTAATAAAGAGGAAATATGGTAATTGACTGTCATACCCTCATAAAAATGGTGATGCCCACAACCAATAAGGAGGGAATATGTTAATTGACTCCATGTCCTCAAAGATGGTGGCCCCCACAGTCACAAGATGGTGGTGCCTAGTCAGCTCAGCCCCACTGGCACACTGTGCACCTGTCTCCAGAGTCTTCCAGTCTCCTCAGCCTCCCAAGCTGTCCAGGGCCAGCACAAGGCACAGGCAAGCCTCAGATGGTAGCTGCCCAGCCTCCCAGGGCCATCTGAGGCTCAGGTAACCAGAGCTGGCCGAGGCTTGTGCTGCTGGCAGTGGCAGCAGCAGAGGTGTGATGGGGGCATTGCCTTCCCCTGATCACTGGGTCGCCTCCTGCCCCTGAGACAGAGGGGCAGGCAGTGCTGAGGGACCTCCCCTTCTCCAGTGCATGAATTTTCTTTTCTTTTTTTAAAATATATTTTATTGATTTTGTACAGAGAGCTAGAAACATCGATGAGAAAGAGTCATCGATCAGCTGCCTCTTGCACACCCCCTACTGGGGATGTGCCCGCAACCAAGGTACATGCCCTTGACTGGAATCGAACCCGGGACCTTTCAGTCCCCAAGCCGACGCTCTATCCACTGAGCCAAACCGGTTTCGGCCAGTGCATGAATTTTCATGAACCGGGCCTCTAGTACTATAATAAAGTACTACCAAATATCCCCACTTATGGGAGAAAGAAGATTTATTAACCAGTCCCATTGCATATACTTTATTTGGATCATCCGATATTCAGTGGACACCCAAGTGTATAGATAGCTCATGTGTGTATTCTTTCCATCAAAATGTGTTTATGCACATTTTGCACATAATGCATACAGGTTGTATCTCCACAAATTGCCCATCCATTGTAGCACACTACGACAATGGTATTCCCGCCCCCCCCCCCCCAACTTTTATGTGCTCTCTTGTTTTCTGAAAGGACCTGATGTTATTTTATGAGGATGAACCAAAGCCAGTTTTGCCGACAGTTCCTCCAACCATTACTAGTATCTCATCAACTACGTGGTTGTCAGAAGGGCAAGCGGAAGATTGTAACCTCTGGAATGCAGGTAAGTTGGTTGAAAAAATAGGAAGTTTACTCAGAAACATGAATAAGAAACACTGGGTGGAATTTTTTTCATCAAATTTTATTTTGTGAAATATAGCAACAATAGTTTTGATTAACGTTGAACATGAGGGACAAGACTGGAATGGGCAAATTCAACCCACATGTGAGTCTGTAATCTTGTTTTACCATTTTATTTCAATGTTTTTTCTCTATTTTTCATTGTTTAGTTTAATAAATTATCAACTACAAGCCTTACATCTTTTATGAATGGTTAAGAACAGAACAAATTAATTTCAGTTCCTTTTTTCATTTGTATTAACTTCTCTTTGATAAAGACTTTAAATTATGCCATTTTTCAGAAGCAAGCAGTAGATGAAAAGCAAGATGTATATAGCATCCCACAAATTGGTTAATCACCTCCTGAGTAATTAACACTAGAGAAAAAGGCACAGTATAAAATTATACAAAATCTGTCTCCAATAAATTACACCATTAAATTCCACTTGGGCTCTACTTCTCCTCAAGATCTGATTGGTTCATTGTTGAGCCACTTCATCCTTTCTGTTCTCTGTGAACACTCAATCTTCAGTCAATTCTTCCTCTTGATTTTCTCAAAAAATCGAATGAAAGCTCTTCTGCCGATACGAGAATGAAACTTTTTCATTAGTGTTTTTCATCCCTTCAGATATCTTTGCTTTTATATTCACCTGGGCATGCTTTCCCTTTATCACAGAGGTGGCTCCTTATGTTCTGAGTTTCATCCTTTCCCTCATCTTTGGACTATGTACCACACTTTTTTCTTAACTAGATCCCCAGTATCCAAAAAATATAAAAACTAGCTTATTCCGAAACCGGTTTGGCTCAGTGGATAGAGCGTTGGCCTGCGGACTGAAAGGTCCCAGGTTTGATTCCGGTCAAGGGCATGTACGTTGGTTGAGGACATATCCCCAGTGGGAGGTGTGCAAGAGGCAGCTGAACAATGATTCTCTCTCATCGATGTTTCTAACTCTCTATCCCTCTCTCTTCCTCTCTCTGTAAAAATCAATAAAGTATATATTTTTAAAAAAAAACTGTAGCTTATTACTATAGATTTATGTTACAAATTAATGTTTATAGTTTCCTTATAAAACCAGTCATGAGAATGGTGAGGATATTTTAATAGACACAAAAACAAGAAGTTGTGGGTCATGTTTGCCACCCTAGGATGGCATTATTCACATGGATAATTAGTTGCAAGCGGTTATAGTTTTGTAGACATCTTGCTTTTTATTCTTAGAATACACTTTATGTAAACTGATCCAAATCTAGAAGCTTGAAGGGAGAGTAGTAAGGAAACACTTTGTATTCTTATTAGTAACCTCATACATTTCCCCCACATTTTTAATAGATTTTATTTTGAAGAGCAGCTTTAGGTTCACAAAATGGAGCAGAAGGTACAGAGATTTCCCATACACCCCTCCTTCCAGATGATAAGCACTGCTTCCCACACTGTTAGCATCCCGCACCACAGTGCTCCATTCATAGCAGTCAGAGAACCTGCATGAACACCTTATGACCACCTACAATAGCATCCAAACCCCATGGTTTACATTAGGCTTCACTCTTGGTGTGATACGTCCTATGACAAATTTGTAACATGTGTCCACCATTAGAGTATGATGTAGAGAAGTTTCACGGCCCTAAAAATCCTCTATGCTCTGCTGTTCATTTCTACATCCCCTTCTACCCACTGGTAACCACTGTTACTGGAACTGTCTCCATACTTTTGTCTTTTCCAAAAAGTCACATAGTTGGCATCATATGTAACATATCCTTTTCAGACTGGCTTCTTTCACTTAGTGATATTTGTCTTTCATGACTTAATAGGCTTTTCCTTTTAGTGCTGAATAGGATATGCTAGGGTGCTTATCCATTCGCCTACTGAAGAACATCTTGGTTGTCTCCAAGTATTGGCAGTCCTCCTATATGATAAAAAGGTGATATGCAAATTGACCCTAATGACAGAATGACCAGAATGACTGCTCAACCAGTCACTATGAGGCGCACTGACCACCTCTTCGTCCCTTTCTCCACCAGCAGGCTCCAATTGCCTGATGGCGAATGGGGAACCGGGGATAGGTGGCGGGATGCGGGTTGTGCCAGGCTAAGGCTCCTGCCCTGCCAGTCACTCTGCACACACAGGGCGACTCACGGCAGGGACGGGGCTGGTGAGCAGGCAGGAACAGCTACCCTCTCGGTCCCTTCCCCCAGCCATCGGGCTCCGATCCCCAGTGGCAAATGGGGAATGGAGGGTGAGTGGCAAGGGATGTGGGCAGTGCCCCGACCTCTCAGTTCTTCCCCACCAACCAGCAGGCTCCGATTGCCGATGGCAAATGGGAAACCAAGGGTGGGTGGCAGCGGGGGGGGGGGGGGGGGGGGGGAGGAGCAGGGCCGGCTGCGGGCAGCGGGGAAAGATGGCACTGATCACAGGCCAGGCCTAAGGGACCATACCCGCACACAAATTCTGTGCGCTAGGCCTCTAGTTATAATTAAAGACGCTGTAAATTTCCATGCTCAGGCTTTGTGGACATGGTTCTCCTGCCAACATTTTAATACAAGTGAAATTGAGTATAAGTGAGCATCACTGGCAACCGTTAAAAGGGAAAAAGTCACAAAATATGTCACACGAGGGACGATTCTACCATTTTACTAATCCTTTCTGTTATTTATGTTGCAAATATCATTTTACAGGCTATGAATTACCTCTAAACCTTTTTTTATAGAAGATTTTTTGTTTAGTTGGTGTTTTTATAGAGGCTTTCTGTTTCATACAGTCATATTTATTCCTCTTTTCCTTCTGAGCATTTGTTTTTGTGTTTTTAAGAAGGCTTTTCCCACACAGGTTCAGAGTGCATGTTCACCCATATTTCATCTTAATTTTTTTAATTTAACCTATCTGGATTGAATATATTTATAAATGTTTTGAGATACAGTAGAGGGGATCCAGTGTCTCAAAAACATTTATTATTGACTAATTAATTTTTCTCTTCTGTTTTGAAATGACTCTAACCTCTACTAAGTTAGAGTCATATAATAGCATCTATTTAACAACTCTCTCCTGTTCCTTTGGTCCATTTCACTGTTCCTGATCTATTTAATTTTTTATAATTATTATAACAGTCTGCCACAGTATGAATGTCTCCTATTTTACTTAAACAATATTATGTTGATGGTTATTTAAGTTATTTTCATGTTTGCCATAATAGATGATGATAAAATGACAGCTTTTTCCTCTCTCAAATAAAGTAGGCTTTTTATTTATATTTTTCCACAATTTGAGTCAGATTTAAAATACATTACTCAATTTCTTTTGGTAAATTCTGCCCAGCTCACTAACTTATACTGTCAACAGATGGTTCTAATTTCCATGTTATAATTTTGGCAACTTCAGCCCAAGGCAAAAATAAAGTAGGAAAGTGATTCTGGTGCAGCATGCTCAGTTCTCCTTTCTGCCTGCCGCTTCCCTCCTCAGGCGCGTGATCCGCTGTCCACGCTCTGGCCTGTGTGTTGGGAGCACCACCCTCACCAACACTTGGTCATTGCTTCACTGAGCCCATTCCTTTCTTCTGAGTGACTATTCTCTTGAATTTTGTGCTCACCATTCCTTGCTTTTCTTTATAGTTTTTCTACATATGTTTATACTCTGAACAATACATTATTCATTTTACAGGCTTTAAAATTTTATCTAAACACTAGAGGTTTGATGCACAAAAAATTTATGCAGGAACAGACATTCCTTCCCCTGGCTGCCGGCACCCGCACTGGTTTCCCTCAGGCACCTGAGACCCTGGCTTCGCTCTGGTGACCAGCAGGCACCTGGGACCCACACGGCTTCCGTCCAGCTGCTGGCAGGCACCCAGGACCTGGCTTCAGTCCAGCCCAGCTTAGTCTGGAAGGACATCCAGTCTAATTAGCATTTTACCCTTTTATTATTATAGATAGTCATTGAGTTTATTTTTCTGTGACTCTATCATTCAGTAATATATTTTTAAGGTTCGTCTAGATGTGTACATGGTTGTCATTTGTTGTCATGGCTGTATAATATTTTATTGTGTACATGTATTAGAGCGTATTCATTTATTCCACTCTAGAACGCTGTCATCAGTATGGTGCTCAGGTTTTTTGCATTGTAAACAGTGCTGTTTATTAACATGCTTCTGTGAGACTCATGGACAAGAGTTTCTCTAGGGCACATATTTCAGAGTGAAATTGCTGATGGTTCAATATGAACATCTTTAAATTTACTAGATAGTGCCAAGTTGTTTTCCAAAGTCCTCATTGCTCCATATCCTCACAAGCTCTTTACAGTATAGTGTCATTTTTGGGGAGGGGAGGGTAATCGCCAATCTGTTGGGTGATGGTTGGTATCTCATTTGTTTTTAAATGTATTGTTTAATAATTAAATTGAGCATGTTTTCATATGTGCATGGTTCACTCATATTTCCTCACCTGTAAGTTGTCTGTTCTGATCTTTTGTCCATTTTCCTATTTGGTTGTTTGGCTTTTTCTTGATTTGTAGGAATTCTTCATCTATTCTAGAGGCTAACATTTCATTTTTAAAATACTTTTGTCCAGTTCATGACTTATCTTTCCACTTTGTAAAGAGTCTTTTGAATAACGGAAGTTCTCAGTTTTAATGAGGTAGAATTTTATTCCTATGATTTGTACTTTCTGTATCTGGTTATTTAAAAAAAAAAATTTTTTTTTCTTGTCTCAAGACCATAAAGATACTTCTATGTAGGTTAAACATTTTCTAGTTTTGCTTTCCACAATTACAATTTTAATGCAGCTGGTATTGGTTTTGTGTATGGTGAAAGCAGGAGTCTAATTTTATTTCTAAATGGATATCCAGCTGTCCCAGCATCATTTTATTGAAAAGTGTGTTCTTTCCTAGCTGAACTGTAATGCCATCTGTATCCTAAAGCAAGTTTACACATGTGCATGGATTTGTTTCTGAGCTCT